ACCCCCAATGTGTGTGTGTGTGTGTGTGTGTGTGTGTGTGTGTGTGTGTGTGATATGTGTAAGGTCAGAGTACAACTCTGTGGAGTCTGTTTCTCATTCTACCTTTAGGTTTTGAGGATGGAGCTCAGGTCACTAGGCTTGCACAACAAGCACTTATACCCAAAGAGCCGTCTTGCCAGCTCCATTCCCCTATGTTTAAATCTTTGTCCTAACTAGGATTTCTCTAGCCCTAAGGAACATCCAACTCTGTATTTTCTAAATACTGTCATTTTGTCCCAGGAAATATCACCTTTATTTTATACATACACATCTCTGAACAGACTTAACAGTTTTCTTTAAAAAAGTCCCTCTTACTTTCTTAAAACATTTCCTATACCATTCCAGATACTATTATAAGGGGGATATTTTCTTTCATGATATTTTCTAATTTGGTATTCTATTACCTAGCACTTTCAGAGCAATTTTAAACAGGGTTAAAAACAATTACATGTGGTTTTTTAAAAGTTATTAATCTCTTACAGCTTAAAAAGATAGGCGCTATTTATATATATACTCCATATGTAATACTTTGAAGTGCTTCAAAATCATAGTACAGCTGTTTCTGTATTTCACTTATGTATATTACCAAGTTTTAGTTTCACATAGACGTTTTTGAAATATGAAAGCAATCATTTATTTTATGCTGTTTTAAATATGAAGAATTAATACTGAATTACATAACATCCTTTGGACAAGTACTGAAACAGTTGGCTAATCATATGGCACCAGCATCAATAGTAAGTTAGAGTGGGGCATGTGTGGGGCTGTCCCAGCTGCTCAAGAGGACGAAGGAGGATTGCTTGATCCCAGGAATTTGAGACTAGCTGAGCAACACAGTGAGACTATCTCATTAGTAAATACATGAAGATAAAATACTTTAGAATAGTAAAAAGATGCTTCAGAACTGATCTACGGGACACTAACAGAAATCCAGTCTTCTTTAAAATGCCCTTGAGGAACCCAAGGCCAATGTTATTTCCATTATTTACTTTGTTTTGTTTTTTTGAGACAGGGTCTCCCTTTAGTCCCAGCTGGCCTGGGACTTGCTATGTAGACCAGGCTGGCCTTGATCTCAGAGGTCTGCCTGCCTCTGCCTCCCAAACGCTGGGATCAAAGGTGTGTGCCACCTCACCCGGCCATTACACTGTATTTTAAATTAGAGATACCTGTTAATAGATACAAATTCAAACTCTCCCTAGGAATATTCTTCTGATCCTTTTCCTTCAATAATGAAATCTATATTAAAAAATTTCCGTGTATCAATATAGAATGCCACGAAAGCAGAGGAACTACTTTTATATTAAAAATGGACACACATTAGTGTTAATTTCTTGAAGTCATTTAAGTACTCTATGACACATTATACTACCTAAAGGCAATGTAAAGTTACCTTTTCTTTTTCAGTCACATCCTTTGACTTCTTTTTCTTTTTTAAACCATCCTAAACAAATAAGATATATGTCAATTTTAAATGTAAAAGATACAGCATTATAGAACAAAAGTACCATTCCCCCAAATGATTAGTTCTATAACTAATACAAGTTTACTTCAATATCAGAATTTTATTTTGGAAATAGAAGCGGTATCTACATTATGCATATATCTGCACGTAGGACATCAGGGCTTTTCACTTATCTGACTCCATATCAAATCTATGTACCCATAAAATAGTCTGTAATACCCAGTAGTTTGTTTTAAATAAGGCTTTTATGCCACTAGCTTTGTCTGTGGTGGCCATAGGCACTGAAGTTCTAGTTCACAGTTTTCTGCCATTCACCAATCTGACTTGCCTATTCTTCTCATCAGGAATGGAAGCAAGAAATTCTGCTTCTATTCCTAAGCTATTCTTTTCTATGGGTCTTAATTTTTTTAGTCATAAAGTAGACTAACAAATAACTACCTTACAGGGTTGCTGAGAGGACTAAATACATTAATCATCAAGTGCCTAGAACAGTATCTGACACACAGTAGGCATTCTATGGACACTAGCTATCATTATCATGGGACTGCTGCCTGAAGAGACAAAGAGTACTTTCTACAGGAATTTTGTCCTCTCCCTGGGGCAAGTAGAAATCCTTTACAAAACCTGGAGAGGAGCTTTAGTTTCCTGAGACTCTGAGATAATGTTTCTTAATTTGTGTTCCACAGGTACTCAGAATCATACAGGACATCGGTAAAAAAAAAAATAGGCTATTTCTGATCCTAATCAGAGTTCCTACGGAGACAGAACCCAGGGATCAACTTTTTCTTTGGTTTTTTGGTGCTGAAGATTGAACTCAGGGCTTTGTGCATGTTAAGCACAAGGTAGACCTCTGGCTACTGAAATCAACATTTTTCTTTTTTTTGGTCTTTTTGAGACAGGGTCTCCCTGTAGCCCCAGCTGGCCTGGAACTTGCTATGTAGACCAGGCTGGCCTTGAACTCACAGAGATCTGCCTGCCTCTGCCTCCCAAGTGCTGGGGCTAAAGGTGTGTGCTACCATGCCTGGCCTGGAATCAATATTAAAAAAAAAAAATTACTTATTATTTTTATGTGTATGTGTGTATTGCCTGCATGTAGGTGAGTGCACCTGTGTCGTGCAATGCCTGCGAAGGACAAAAGAGGCTGTCAGATTCCCTGGAACTGGAGTTATGGACAGTTGTTAGTTGCCATGTGGGTGTTGGGATTTGAACCTGGGTCTTTGGCAAGAACAACCAGTGTTCTTAGCCACTGAGCCATCTCTCCAGCCCTGGAATCAACATTTTTTATAAAACAGTTCATGCTTTTTAAAAGATCATTCAAATCTGCACTTGACAACTGCAGTTAGTATAGAACAAAATTAGGTGTAGTACAATAGAAAGAACACTGGACTAGCTATTAAAAACTAAGGGCTTCAACTCCAACTCTTCTGCCCCCTGAACTACAACTTCTTTATGAAAATGGAGGAAATAATATCATGGAGAT